GCGACGTGCTGCATATTGCGGAGGCGTTGTCTGTCCTTGATCAACGCTGACTCGAGCTGTCTGGCTTTGATGCAAGGATGTGACGCGCTGCATATTGAGGAGGCGTTGTCTGTCTGGTCAACACCCAGCGGAGCTGAGAGTCACCGTAGATTCCGGGCATTCAGTGGTTGCTTTCAGGGAGCTGACCTTCCTGATAATTCCCGGTTAACATCTGGTCACGGTCCGGTGAGATTCGGCTCAGAATTAACACCCTCCAACAAACAGTCAGTTTCATTCAGAAAAGACCGTTTGATTAGCTCCGAGGCGTCATTTCTATTTCAACAACACCGGGGTCAAAAGTCATCGTGCTTGGCTTTCTCGGTTTAATCGGCGATTGGATATGATCGTGGATCAGCATTTCTACGGCTCGGATTTCATTCACTCTCATTCCCGTCCGACCGTTTGTCTACCTGTTTTCTTTATGATAAGAATGAACAAAGAAGCTCGTGAAAAAGCACCACGTAGATACCTGGTTATTCCCACCGCAGACAAGTCGGAATTTCTTCGAAGGCCTCCGAAGTCGCACACAAACGTGGAATGCAACAGAAGCAAAGATACCCTACCATAGATGAAAGGCAAATAACTCAGGGACGCCACACATTTGAGGCGACTTACTGAGAGGTATATCAATGCGAGCCTTGAAAAGTTGTAAGTTATTGGGAGGATGAATACAATCAGGAGTGAAGAGCTCCAAGTTTCAAGGCACTTTGACAGTTTGGAAGACTGGTTTGCTAGCAATCGCTCAAAAATGGATATCGAGAAGTATACAGTGAAGTTTGAGGCACATAGATCGCAAGCAGAGAATTCGACAAAAGGCGAAACCCCACAAAGTATCTCATTAGGTAGTATCCCCAATTCGAACGGTAAGGAACTGATAGGATCACGTGATGGTATGCGGCTGGATCAATCGAAATGGAGACCAGGCCTCAGTTGAAACATAGCGTTCGGGAAAGCTTTGAGGAGCGGATTTTTGAGTTGGATAAGCGACTGGCAATGTTTTTTCCTCAAGGACTGTTCCGTACCTTGTACCCATGTCTACCACCACTACATGGGTGTGCACATGTTTATTCTTTCGTAAGTTCATTTTTATGTCTATCTCTTACAGCTGGTACGCCAGGAGTTGCCCAAATATGCTCAGAATATGTTATTGCGGCCTACCTGTGTTAGGTATTATGCAGGCAACACCATCAGTGCCATTATGGTCCATTTCACTTCACCGTCTCTCAACTTAGGGTCCTCACAGTATTAAAGTGTCCATCCTAATGAGTGTCCACTTAGTACCTATAGAACTTCACGATCAAGTGCGTAAATCCGCCAAACCAGTTTATTAGATGCCGCGTTGTCCTGGCCAAAAGGAATTGAGGGACTACTCCACCAGAAAGCGGAATACATCATTCTAGAGTACTTTATCAAATTCGATAAAAATCCTCTTCCAGCTCTTCTCTTCGATTTCCGCATCATTTAATAAACGGTGTCACCTTTGTATTTTCATCTTGGCGCGGTTCCTCGAAGGTTTTCGAAGGATTTCACCTCGGGACGATAGGTTGTCGGAGATATCAAGCCCTTATCGAAAATCCAATCAATAGCTGCAATTGGATTGCTGTTCAATCTCTGTACGTATTGTAACGTGGGTCGTCTGGTGATCCGGAGTGTTGATCGGATGAGCGTGCGCCCGGATTTTGCTGTGATCTAGACCCCACACGCCGTGAGAATTTGCAAAGTCATGAACACCCTTAGGCGACACTTGTTTGCGGGATTCTCAATTTGGTGAGAGTATGCAATGTAGCGAGTGCACTATGGGACTAGTTTTCCGATGGAGGGGGCTGCACGACACTTGCTCTAAAACGAAAAAAAGGAAAATGTAAGCAAGGCCCGACAAATCATCCATACTTACACAGAACTCGCACATTGAAAGTGGTGTTATGCGTTACAGTATGGTCGTACTTTCTGGAGTTCGTCCATCATTGCAATATGAATTTCTCACTCAAACGATTACTTCCAGAAACATCAGGGAGCCGTATGATGGTTTTAGAAGCCAGTGACGTAATTTGTGAGGTCAGATTAGTAGCACATCAAGCCAGCTGAACCGAACATCGCTTTCCGACTCCTCTTCCTCGTATACTTTCAATGAGGGCCCAACTGACAGTTGCTCATATCTGTATTTAGACTACATTTTAACTACAATGATTGTGTTTTCTACTTGAACAGGAGTCTCGGTAGCCTTGTCAGCTCTGCTTTACTAGCTAATTCCATCCTGATTCCATTTGGTCCTAATGATACGGATGTAACGCACTACTTATAAAGTTGCTGAAAACTCTCCCACGGCCCACAAGCGCTTTCGCCCTTCGTGGGGCTCATCACATGGACGCCCTATCCGAGTACCTTTCAGCCCCATGTTCTACATAAACACAGGTGATTCTCCAACGAAGATCAAACTGATATGCTTCTGGCACTCATGATCAATCCCGTGACCTCTGGAACTTGAAACATATTGTTTAAAACTAATCCGTTATGGGTACATTGTGTATAATCTACCAAACCGTCTTAACTTTCTGTGATGATAATAGCGTCTCGAATGCCAGCCGCATGTCGGAGTATTACTATTAGTACAATTCGTATCATTGATTTCTGTATGCGTTGTATGAATGGCTGGCATCTGAATCGGATTTGCCATCAACAATCGTCAAACCACTAGACACTTGCACACAACAAGAGAGCTGCACACGTGATCTTGGCATTTTGTAGACTCGAGGGAATAAGATGGGCGCGTAAATATGAGGCTATCGACCGCCTGTAACAGGACAGCTGACGGCGGAACTTACTAGTTGATCACCGCGGTACCAACATTGTCCGTCAGCGTCTTTAAGTTCCAGCGTACTGCCACATCTTTCCTAGTATAGCACCGCTCGGTTGTTACCAGGGTCTGTTGAATGACATCCTCACAGTAGTGACACATAACCTGATGGTATTCCACGAACCCCATAGTTACTGATGTTGCCCAGAATGAAAATGTCTGACAGTTATTCATTGGAAAATGGATCACAATTTGGTTCAAGAATAAGCCGTTTTCTAGGCCACTCCCCCCGGTAAAAGGGAAGTCGCGGCTCTTCAAACTTGCCTGAAGGTTGTCTCCGTGACCGAAATTCCGGTAACTTTGATTTCCAACTCCCGTCCTCGGATGGTCATAGACAGGTTGCTTTTTATGTTAGTTCTAGCCGTTCCTGTCAAGGAGCCCAACCAATGGAGTTGGTTTCCTGTCAGGCTCCTTTCAACTCTAACCGCTTCGAAGAATGTCGGTGTTATAGAGTCGGCCTCCCATTTACCTGAAGGATTTTGCGCATACAAATGAAGTCAGTCAACAACCCAAAGATGTCTATATCGTGTTCACTTCCCAATGCCGTACAGTGGTGAGGACGGTACAGTCACTCGATGCGCCGTAATCTTGGTGTCTAGTTGCATGTCTTGGTTGTTTCAGACGCGTTTCTCCAGGTGAACAAATGCAGTCGTTGATTTTGCAAAAGGATCGTTTATTTCACAATTGAGTGTCAGGTCCGTAGATATTTTGCTGCGAAGATGGCAGAAATCAGTGAAACATGCTACTTCAGAACTATTCAGATGAATACTCGGTTTCTTTTCATGTTGAACCACCAATGAGTCATTGATATACTCATAGTTTAACTAAATCATGATACTACTGAACTGGACGTCGTGGTCACTTGCGATTTTTCTACTTCAAAATACGAGATTAAGGCACAACAGTCTTCAACCAAGAGTATACCGACATTCGATTTGAATGAACAAATATGCCAGAAGTATTGAATCGATATGACTCGTTCAAAATGGCGGAATGCATTGGTACGAATGGTCGTTAAATAGATGTCAAATAAGCCCAAAAAAGAACACGGCGGACTCAAACTCTGGTGGAAGGAAGAAGGCCTTTGCTGCGGAGTTATGGGAAAACTCTAATTGAACAGTTACAGAATATTAGACAGGGAAACAAAACGCTCATATGCATCTTGTTTATACGGGCTGAGCATCTGTCCCCTTCTCGAACGCATCTTCCTGAAATTTCCTGGATACTCACTCAAATGTAAATGAAGGCTACAAAGCAATTCCACAAATTCCGTAACAAACCCCACTTTCCAATAGACAAGAAGCGGATTTACGAGAAAACCACATACTACTCCCATGCCTCATCAGTAGTACCCACCATCACACTGGTAGCAGAGGTCCTCACCTGGGCTCTCATCCTATTGTGAAAGAGTTTGATGAGGTCAACAGATGTGTCCGAACGACACCGTTTTCCATGAAAGACCTACAGTGCTTCTCTGCTGACTGAGTCAATGGCTTTGGTTAGGTCCACAAACAGTCCATAGGGCCGTTGGTTGCATTCACGATAGCCCTCTCGGATTCGTCTTGCAGTGCACTTCAGCCACCTCCAAATCTACCCTCCTTTTCAGAAATGCCAGAGACTAGTTTGACGAACCACACTTTCCCACCAGTGCATAGAAGGCTGATTCCCCGGTAGGTATACGTCTTCGGTCGACTTACTTCTATACCGAAGAATTATTGTTGCACCCTCGAAATCGTGGAGAACGTCTTCCGTATCTAAATTCACTCACGAAAGCTGAAGAAGTCTGTTCTGCAGCGTCGGTCTTGTAAAGTTTTCTGAGGCAGCCGTTCATTCCCTCCACTCTTCCTTTCTTCAGCAAATTTGGTTCTGACTAGTTCTGTAGCTCAGTTTAAGTTATCTAAGTAGAGCTTCAGTCTTTATTGGGTTAGACAGTCTATATAGTTGTGGTCGGTTGAGTGTTTAAGCTACCAGACTTTTGTCAGACTTGCTTGGTTTTTCGCTCCTTTTGTTTTCTATCTATCAGCCCAAGCTAGTGGACTTTCGATCCATAGATTTCTTCCAGATGACCCTTTGTGACAACAGCTATCTGTATACGACTGCAGGTCCTCAATTCGTTTGATCCATCGTTCACGTTTTGTCTCGCGCAGATTTTCCAACAATCGGATCCTGACGCTTCTGATTTGTCTCCGGGTCTGAATAGTTTTGACCAACGCCGAGTTGGATAGCGGTGAGTAGTTATCATCGAAATTCCTGTCTGCTATCTTGTTTGGTCCAATTGTATCCCCAACAGCTGTTCGAATAGGTTTTCGTACTCAAGCCCACCGGCCTTCGGATGTGGTCCAGAATTAGTCACGCAATAGCCCTAGTACTGGAGATTCGGGAGGCTTCCATGCAGTCTCTCTGTTCGTCAATCTTGTTCCATTCAACTTGAATCAGTTCCCCCGGATCCACGACTTGATAGCTTCTTAAGTGGGACGCGCGATTAGGCAGGCATAACAGAATGATCTCTACTGCATTCAGCTTCTTGCGTACTCGTCGTACAGTGGTTGTAGCTACCACAGTTTCGTTCACCGATGTTTCGGGGAGGTGGAGTAGGTAGCTGTGCATTTGAGGCGGGAGCTGACAAATTGATGCGTAAATACAGCACTGTCAGTGAACTGTCAAGTAGGGGATTGTGAAGGAAGCTATGCATTGAAGGCCATTGAGGGCGTGACTGGATCATGTCTGACAATGTCTCTAATCATTGATATGGCCCGTCTCGGTGTCCCCATCCAGGAAGATGGCAATGACCAGCGCAGCTGAGTTTGTTGAATGAGTCCATCCGACAAGCATTGTTCGCACCCCATTGGATCACATGGCTGTTATTGACAGTTTCATGGCTACAAGCACCATCCATGGTCTTCCATCTATGTGGTTCATTGGTCTGAGTCCCACTAGACCCAGTGTCTTCTTCAGGGTTTCTCAACCCTTGAAATCACGCCTACAACAGAAGTCGGGTGGCCGTTGGTGCAGTCCGGTTGATTTGTTAGTCTCCAACTCATGTGATATGATATTGCGAACCCAATTTCACTTTCATGTTCTTTTGTTGTTTCAATCCATTAGTGGATATAATGAGGTCTCGATCAGTCAGCTGGGTCTCCCAGAGTGTACCAAGATTTATCCTGTAGCGCTCACGTCCGTCTCCTTCATACTTACTTCCACTTTCCAGGTTCAAAATCCCATAAGAGGCGTTTTCTTTTCCCATATGCAGTTCACACCATGTGTAGGGGACTGAAGCTTTCTGGTAGCTGGCAATAAGAAATTTCATCTCGTATACTCCATCCTGAGTGTGAGTGGACTCTGTTCAAAAGGACAATGACATCTTTCAACACTACTCATATAGTCTATGAAAAACCCACTACCTGTTCCACCTTCATTAAGGCTCATCAGGTAGACGCTGTCTTCGAATCTCCATCTGGCCTGTTTCTTACCTGGAATACTCACGTTATGATATGTTGCCACTAGAATATCCCATTTTTGTCACGAACTTGTCTGGTCTATCTCACATTAACTTGGCCCAGAGTACTCTGTCCTGTGATCGGTCACATGCACATGTTTGGAATCTGGCCAATTAGAAAGCTGAGCATTTCAGTCGAGTTGAGGAATTTTGTGGCACGATGGTAGATATTAGCACAACCTCCATGTACACCACTGATCCACTTCTGAATCGCCAAAGATACAGCAAATTTGCATATCATCCGATTGGTGTCTTTGCCATGTTTGATTCTGGATTGAATTTGGAATACCTGTCTCTGATGTGACTACAGCCATTCGTCGCCTAAACGCTCACTTTACAGTTGGCGATCATTCTTTTAATGACAAGAGAAGGGGGGCAGTTGTGATTGATGGCTTAGCACGGCCAGCAATTCTCATTTCCGACATTGTTCTGCACGTCTCTTGCACACGGCACTACGCCAGCTGCGACGCGCACCCCCGCCTGGTGCGCGTCCTGGTTTTTGGACATTGACGTCAAAGTGCCCAGACAGTTTCGTTTGTCCCCTGGTTTTTGCATTGGTAATTAGCACGTCGGACGTGTGTTGGCCATGAGATGTGTTGTGTGGGCAGCGATCAGTCAATGGGTTTCGCTAATATTGGGACTGCGGGGGAAAAGTTTACTCACTATTTCAATCAGGTCGATTTGACCAGATTTTGCATCGCTTTTGAACAGAACGTTGTATAGCCGGACAAGTTAAAATGTTTCTCAAAACAGAGGAACAGAGGAAGCCAAGGTTCTAGATGATCTCGAAACGTTCATCTCTTTGCATCAGTCTGTGCATCAAAACCGTCATCCCACGAAAAATCAACAGACTGACACTTCTCGGAAGATCAACGCGGTAGTCCGATGTATGCCACCAATTCATCCGCTTGCAATCACTAGTATCATCACTTGTATTTCACTGCAACACAATGCATGAAACACTGTGGCCAGTTTGGATGCGCCCGACTGAATGTCTATTTGAGTAGCTCGTTTTTTCAACTCAGGATGAATTTGAAAACGTGCCCTCCGGGTTTCAGAGATCCGTCACTCAAACGCACCCACGATGACACACGTACTGTGCTTTGGACGTCGCAAACTGTTACGTGAGCCAAAGCGTCGATCCGTGGAGACCTGAAGCGTGACATTTTCACTAAATAGCCACTCTGAACGACAGGTCTCTCACAGTATGCTGTGCGCACGTCACACCTGATGACGTAAGCCTACAGTCCGACAAGTGGACAGTAGGTTTTGATCAATAAACACTAGATTTCGGCTGGACATCAGCTCATCAGCCTGTCAGGGCAAGAAACCACAATGAGGACATCAACCCGGTCACTAAGGCCTGAGGGCTTGAGCATTAGGTCTCCTTTGAGTTGGGTTTGGGCCGCATTGGCGATCGATGGGCCCGAAGACAATATAGTCCACGACTACATCTCCGTCCGCCAACTATGTGGAACAAGTTGGGCTAACCAGTAACAAAACTTGCCCGAAGCTATCAGTGAAAGGAGGAAAGTCCTTCGCTCCGAAATCGCTCATTAGTAAACACGAGCTGAACGTCTACAAGCCGTTAGACACGAAAGTAAATATCTCAGTTGCGCATAGCCTCACGCGTCCTCTTGAACTTTCCTGGATACTCATTCAAAATTTCAGAATGGTGAGCAAACATTGCAAAGCGGTTCCAAACTTTCCATAATAAACTGTACTTTCCATTGGATGCGGGGATGGAGCTTGAATACCGGACCATAGACTACTCACATGCCTCATTAGTAGTATACACCGTTAACCAGTACTCTTCCAGCACTAATCAGTGGACATGACACTAAGCCTTACTGCCTTTCAGTCGTCGTGTCGGTGTCAAGTGTACCAGGACATGACGTGCACAACTCTTGCCCAGTCCGATGCCCTTGTATCCGTGATCCCGCGGAACAAACAGTGTAAAAACCTACAGAAAGAACTCAAACCGATTAATCCCAGCATGAGGCCCGTGAAATGGCTTCGCGCTGATATTCCGCTGAAACACGAGAGCGTTGGTTATTGTTAAAGGTAGGAAAGAGCGGGGGGAACGTCCAACCTCACTTGACGTGAACCAACAGACAGCCGATTACTGGATAAGGAGTTTGGAGACTGGCTCTTTGTTTCAAGAGAGTCACTGTTATGGAATTAATGGTAAATCGACTGTTTCTCCTGTCCAGGAATTTTCACCAGTCTGAAGTTTTGCTTAACGATCTCGATAACGTTTATTGACAAATGAGCATCCGTTCGCCAAGTTTACAATAATCGACGGTTTATCAATCTGTTCCAGGCTCACGGCGGGACACGCTTGGTTGATTTATTATTTCATTCAATCAAAAACGATGTGACAGAATATCGACTCTTCTTTTAAGAAATCCAAAAAATTCTTCAAAAACCCTGACCTGTAATCACAGAGGTACCAAGTTCACCAGACGGAATTAATACAATGTCCTCATCATCACAGTACTTGTAACAGAAAACCAAGAGCTCTGTTGCACATGGCAAATTGCAAAATTACCGCTTATCATACTGTGGTCTTTTTTATTCCCAGTATTTCAGCATCGGTGTCTCCGCAGCATTGGTCAGGTGTGGTGGAAACATCGAATTAGTAATGCTGAGGTACACCAGATGGTTTTAGGAAGAAGGAACTCACCCACGACTGATGAATTTCTCACGCTCCATAGGTTGCGCTGGTTGCAACATATACCCCGCTTGCCAGAAGACCGTCTGCCCCACACAGCTCTTTTCTTCCAGCCCTTTAAGAGCGGAAGGGACGAGAGGTGAAAGTGTATGACCTGGCAACGAGGTACAAAAACACTAACCAGTAGACTAAGTCAGGTGGGTAACTAGCGCCTCCCTGGATGGGGACCCCGGGACTCAAATCACCAGTGATTATTGACATTGGCAGAAACGGCCCAATCGCACAGTCAGTGGCACTCGTGCATCAAAGCCATCGCCTTCCATGCGTAGCTACCCGATTTCCGAACAAAGTTAACAGGCCTTCGCCTCCGAGTCTTGGTTGTATGTCCCGGTGGTTGAAACTGTAGCAGCTGGAACCACTAATGTGCCCATGGTACACGTTTTGTAGCTGATAAGTTGAACTGAATCGATTCCCAGCATTCTCATGCATTCCCATGTACCATAAATGTGACATATGTGTGCGGTATCTGTTCAGTCAAACGGAGCGCTCCTAAAAGCGATTCGGACTTTGGAAACGTTCGCCACCAGCATCAAAATTTGCAACCTAGCGAGCTGACCATTCGAATCTGATTGAAGCATGTCTTGACAGGCCTGTTGCATATAATTCCTAATAGCACGCCTGAAATAAATATGCTTCTATGATTTTGCTCTTAAAGATAGATTCAAGGAAGGATCTGTGTCCTGGTTTTGCCTGACATCGACAGGACGAATGGAATTCAGTGAGGTTTTCTGTCATGTCCACTCTTCGCTGTTAAAAGAGGACTGGAACTTTCGGGAAAGCTCTGTCGAGCTTATCGGTTATCCCACCTTGTATAACATGGGCTTTATTTCCGTGGGGCGGCATAGTTGGTGGAGGAAGGTGTAATCGTGTTTTGTATTGTCTTCGGGCCAATCGATCACCAGAGTGGCACCGAGTATGGAGCTGGGCCCAGATCCAACTCAGATCTAATGCTCAGTTCCTCAGGCCATTGCGACCGGGTTGGCGTCGTGATCATGGCTTATCTCACTGGTTTGCTGATGAGCTGATGTCTAGCCGAAATCTAGTGTTTATCGATCAAAGCTCAATACCCACTTGTTGGAGCGTGGCTCGCTCTCGTGTTGTGTACATCCGAAAACAAGGCCGAGAGCTCCTTCTGTCAAAAACTCATTTACTTGACATTTCTGGAAACGCCGGAATCATTCCGGCATCTCGAACACATCTCAAACGACTTCATATTCTATCTTTAGGAACGAATCTATACAAGAAGAGGACTGATTTAAAATCTACTCGTACTGATGTGTAATTTCCTTTATCGATTGGCATATGCTGTGCTCGGTTACTCAGTATACCCTGAAGAGGAAACTACAGAACGAAACAGAAACGCCAAGCGCCAATTGGACAAAAGTTGGCTGTATTGCTAAAAAGGAAGCCATTATCGAAGGATCGTTGTCCACTGAATGTTCATTCTCCCAAACGTAGTCCAGCTAAAGTTTCTTAGCCTCAGAGCGAAAACTGAGCTTCGAAATATGTTGAGATAAAATTCACCGCTATTAAGCCAATCAGTTACTTGGAATAACTGCGTTAGACAAAAGTGCAACCGCTTCATTCAGATATTTTGACGACACATAACTATGAGCAGTCTATGTCTGAAAAACCGAACCTAACTATGGCAAGGTTCCTGTTATTTTCCCCGTCTTCGAATGTCTTTCAGTCTGATCGGCATTCTACTGCTATTCTCTGTAAGAACATTGTATTAAGACCTCACCGATTCCAACTGCCATCACTCCACATCAGCCATTGCTCACTCAGGCGTGGATTCAAACTGTTCTTCGACCTTCCTACGGTCCGCGATCCGTTTTTCTTCACACTCTCGGTGTTTTGTGTCATTTTAACCTGTAAAGTGAGAAGAGTGCGGTACGTTGGTATATTGCACCTTTTCACTACCGCCTAGCCGTTTCGTGAGTTAGTTTTATCAACAGGGTTCTCTACGCTGATCCGTGGACCAAGCCTGGTTGGGCTTTGGTCGTCCGAGAACCTGTGGTGTAAACGCGACCAGAGCGATCTCGCCAACACACGCGGGAGTCGAGAGCACACTGAAATCAAATAACGCGCCGCGACGAAATTGAACGGGACAATGGGCAGCTAAACCGCGCGGGGGTACCTGACCTTCTGAAAGTAGGAAGGGCTCATGGAGTACGCCTGCCGGTGTGACTTTTGCTCTCGATGCTGTGAGTCTACTAATCTGTTTTTTGACTAAGTGGGCCAAAATCCAGAGTAACTTCATTGACAGTTAACAAATCCAGAATACGTTGCTTGCCGAATCTCGTGTTTTGTTACTTTCACTGGGGAAAGTGAATAAGAAATCGTGTATCCATGTTGCGAATTCACATGTGGTACGTGAAAGAAGGCTGATAGCAGCTTTAATGGCTTATCCCTTGATCTCTCGAGACTTCCGGAGATTATCGAATTTTAGCCAAAAATAAGGCACTAAAGCGTACAAATGGATACATGAGACTCAACATTTTCTACATGAGTTAGGTCTGTTTTTCGGTCTGACCCAAAGGACTTCTTGAAGTCGAGCCCGGGAGAGCTCACTGGTCAAGATTAGAGGCGAACTGATTGGAGAAATCGGTTGAAGTTGAAACCCATGAGAGTCAAGCCATCAGGCATCCTATGCTTCTTGTGGAATTGAACAAAATCGATAGCTCCGGTCCTGGCGATAAAGTTCTCATAGTTCCTGAAACTTGCACTATACCCCTGCAGTTTGGAACAGAAGTAACAACTGGTGTGCAGAGAATTTTTTCCATTTCGTTCTGCCTGTAGGAATAAGTTGATGAAAAATCACCGCGAATACTTTTGAGTGTGATCTTCGAGTAGAGCTTCACCCACTTTGCCGGTGCTCACCCTCACTTACAGGCGTATGTAGGATTCCCACTTTCCTAGATACGGTATTCTCCTCGTCATCCGGAATCTAAAACGCTGTCGTAGGATTCTGGACTCAATGCACTAGCCTGGTAATTTGTCGAAATATTGATCGTTTACCAGTGGTTGAACAACTGTGACCACTGATTTATTCGCCAAGCTTGGAATCGTTGTGTCCAAGCCTCCTTTTGGTTTTGACGCTTGTTTCCGCAAGGTTTAACAGTCATTTCAGAAATGATATTGATGATATTGGGTGGTGATCCGTTTGCCTGTCGGGTTTTCCGAGCGCTCTCCAGATAAAGCGTATCGGGTATCCGTTTCTTCGGACAAACGTTTCTCTTCTCTGACCCCACAGAGTTGTGGTGCATCTCAGTGCGCTTGAAAAGAGTGCTGTGTCAGCTTCGTCTATGACGTTTTGGATGACTACCACGGTCTGTATGTGCCGCCTTTCTACAGACCGCAGTCATCCGTTTGGCAATTCTTTGATGAGGATGTATTAGAATACTAGCTTTCTATCATAGAAGAAGCGGGAAAGCCCGAATCGAGCAGATTGATTGATCAGCCAGTAAATTAAAGTAGTAAATTAATCAGCAGACACATTGTCACCAGCCGTTGAAATGGGGAAAATGGGAAAGTGCAACCAACAAATCAAACCCAAGAAGCTTAGATTAAAACGCAGTGCATATTGAAAAGGGGCCAATCAAAACAGAGGAATAAACTACTGAAAATAGAAGATAATCAATCAACTCAACGGAACGCAGACCACAACAAAACAATTATCACAAACGGACTGAAAAATTCACGAAAACATTGTCGCCAAACCATCCAGTCACTTTAAGATGACAGTTTCGGAACGCTATATTAACGCATGGGGCGAGATGGCCCAAGTATTTAGGGCGCGAATTTACTGACCGGAAGGTCCGTGGTTCGAACCCGACCTCTACCTCTCGACTTCCCCTGTCTAGGCTTGGGCAACCTGACAGTATCCCAGCCCTCGTGTAGCCTTCGGGTGGCATGGCAGCTAGACACCGAAAGGGTGCTACAGCTGAACGAGCTGAACGCACGCAAGCTAAGAGGAACTCAATCACGTACTGATGAGGAAAAACTTGCAAGTCAAGCTCAGAGAACAGATCAACAACCATGTGATCAACAACCAATAGCTTTTCATTATTTTATTCTTTTATCACGAGTGGAATGTCATCAGTCACGTTGTGGACAGACAGTGTTTTCACGGTTAATGCGAGCAAAACTCCTTCAGGATATCAGATTCGTGCGTGCTTCCCTGTGGATGTTTTGCCCGTTGGCAGTTGCCTAAAGCTGTGCCAAGTCATGGCAGCTAGCACCGAAAGGGTGCTACAGCTGAATGAGCTGAACGCACGCAAGCTAAGAGGAACTCAATCACGTACTGATGAGGAAAAACTTGCAAGTCAAGCTCAGAGAACAGATCAACAACCATGTGATCAACAACCAATAGCTTTTCATTATTTTATTCTTTTATCACGAGTGGAATGTCATCAGTCACGTTGTGGACAGACAGTGTTTTCACGGTTAATGCGAGCAAAACTCCTTCAGGATATCAGATTCGTGCGTGCTCCCCTGTGGATGTTTTGCCCGTTGACAGTTGCCTAAAGCTGTGCCAAGTCAATGCAGTTTGATCACCTGAATATATCGATGTTTTCGGCGAGACATTGTTAAGCGATACTCAGCCGCTGTGTCAGACAATAAGCCGGCATTCACATGACTCTGGCATCACGGCATTGGACTATTCAAGCTGAGTTGTAGTCAAGCTCACATTTGTCAATCTATTTAGCAATGCCTTACCATCCACAGCTTTCACGAAAGAGTTCAGCAGCGACGAACCCGTTCTGATCTATTCTCCAGAGGATTAATTTGGTGACCCCGCATTAGTAAACGTCTAAAATTCCAGATACTTCATCCCAATTGCCGATCAGGTAGCCTAGGGTCAAGGTCAACCAGTGCCCTTAAAAATACAGCGCGAGGCTGTTGTACTTGCATGCACTCGCTTATTTGCCATAAAGCTGTTGTATCCTTTGACGGCGAGTCTTTTTTCCGGCGCAAGGCATTGTATTGGGACAGGAGTCAGATATAACAAAGTGAAATCGTTTGCTTCTCGGAGTGGTGTCATGTGTTCTT